GAGGTAGAGTACAGTAGAGGTAAGAGTACAGTAGAGTGCAGTAGAGGTAGAGCACAGTAGAGGTAGAGTACAGTAGAGTACAGTAGAGGTAGAGTACAGTAGAGTACTTAGAGTACAGTAGAGTACAGTAGAGGTAGAGTACAGTAGAGTACAGCGGTGTGCAGTAGAGGTAGAGTACAGTAGAGGTAGAGTACAGTAGAGTATAGTAGTGGTAGAGTACAGTAGAGGTATAGTACAGTAGAGTACAGCGGTGTACAGTAGAGGTAGAGTACAGTAGAGGTAGAGTACAGTAGAGCACAGTAGAGGTAGAGTACAGCAGAGGTCGAGTACAGTAGAGGTAGAGTACAGTAGAGTACAGTAGAGGTAGAGTACAGCAGAGGTCGAGTACAGTAGAGCACAGTAGAGGTAGAGTACTGTAGAGGTAGAGTAAAGTAGAGTACAGTAGAGTACAGTAGAGGTAGAGTACAGTAGAGAACATTAGAGCACAGTAGAGGTAGAGTACAGTAGAGCACATTAGAGCACAGTAGAGGTAGAGTACAGTAGAGCACATTAGAGCACAGTAGAGGTAGAGTACAATAGAGTACAGTAGAGGTCGAGTACAGTGGAGTACAGCAGAGGCCGAGTACAGTAGAGTACAGTACAGTACAGTAGAGCACAGTAGAGGTAGAGTACAGTAGAGCACATTAGAGCACAGTAGAGGTAGAGTACAGTAGAGTACAGTACAGTAGAGTACAGCAGAGGTAGAGCACAGTAGAGGTAGAGTACAGTAGATGTAGAGTACAGTAGAGGTACAGTACAGTAGAGGTAAGAGTACAGTAGAGTACAGTAGATGTAGAGTACCGTAGAGGCAGAGTACAGTAGAGCACATTAGAGGTGGAGTACAGTAGAGCACAGTAGAGTACAGCAGAGGTAGAGTACAGTAGAGGTAGAGCACAGTAGAGGTAGAGTACTGTAGAGGTAGAGTAAAGTAGAGTACAGTACAGTAGAGTACAGTAGAGGTAGAGTACAGTAGAGCACAGTAGATGTAGAGTACAGTAGAGGTAGAGTACAGTAGAGTACAGTGGAGGTAGAGTACAGTAGATGTAGAGTACAGTAGAGGTAGAGTACAGTAGAGTACAGTAGAGGTAGAGTACAGTAGAGCTAGAGTACAGTAGAGTACAGTAGATGTAGAGTAAAGTAGATGTAGAGTACAGTAGATGTAGAGTACAGTAGAGGTAGAGTACAGTAGAGTACAGTAGAGGTAGAGTACAGTAGAGGTAGAGTACAGTAGAGTACTGTAGAGGTAGAGTAAAGTAGAGTACAGTACAGTAGAGCACAGTAGATGTAGAGTACAGTAGAGGTAGAGTACAGTAGAGTACAGTGGATGTAGAGTACAGTAGATGTAGAGTACAGTAGAGGTAGAGTACAGTAGAGTACAGTAGAGGTAGAGTACAGTAGAGGTAGAGTACAGTAGAGTACAGTAGAGGTAGAGTACATTAGAGGTATAGTACAGTAGAGTACAGTAGAGGTAGAGTACAGTAGAGTACAGTAGAGGTAGAGTACATTAGAGGTATAGTACAGTAGAGTACAGTAGAGTACAGTAGATGTAGAGTACAGTAGAGGTAGAGTACAGTAGAGTACAGTAGATGTAGAGTACAGTAGAGGTAGAGTACAGTAGATCTAAAGTAATTTTTGATTATTAGTTTGGTTGAATTAGATCATTGAGGGGTCAGCAGCAAAGACATTGGTTAATAAAGTGAGATTACAAACATAAAGTATTGCATTTTATTGTTTTTATTCATTTTGAGGAATACTGAATGTTTTTGTTCAAGTGAGACGAGTAAATGCATGTTCACATTTAGTCTAGAACTAAAATAACCATCATGTTTACACAGCGCTCTGCCACACACACACACACACACACACACACACACACACACACCTTACACCTTACTTTATTTCTCTCAACAACACAGCGCACTGCCACACACACACACCTTACACCTTACTTTATTTCTCTCAACAACACAGCGCACTGCCACACACACACACACACACACACACACACACACACCTTACACCTTACTTTATTTCTCTCAACAACACAGCGCACTGCCACACACACACACACACACACCTTACACCTTACTTTATTTCTCTTAACATGAGGACAGGAGAGCCAATACATGTGAAACATTAACTAGTGTTACTTATTTGAAAAAGTGACTCTGATATTTTGTTGTAAATTGAAAAAGTAATGTGTTACTTTACTAGTAATTGATTACTACTGATTACATAACTCAAGTTACTTGTAATGAGTTTCCCCAACACTGCCTGAGACATGTGATCGAGACCATGATTCATCGTTATGATAAGGTTTCTGTTCCATCCCAGCTAACAATTTTTGCTTCCCAGAAACCTTCTGTTGGTTAGCCAGGAAAGTTAGAGCATTCCCTGTAGGCTTGGATAACGTTCCCCTCACATTCCCAGTATGTCGTCAGAATGTATTGGGAATGTTAGTGTGTGGATCCCAGAGCGGACATTCTAGCGTTCTGTTGTTTAGCCAGAAATGTGTTCTTAACGCTAGTAGAACAATCTCTTTAGGTTTGAGTAATGTTCCCCTAACGTTCCCAGAATGTTCTTATTTGATTCGCAAAAATAGCAGGAACATATGGAAGTTTGTTTCTGCCACATAATAAAACATTTTAAAAGACGACAGTTATAATGTAAGAATTGTATGGTAGCTTGTTTCCGCCACAGAATGAAAAATAAAAAGGTAATTGCGACTTTTTATGTCACAATTCTGACTTTTTTTCTATTATAAAGTCAGAATTGCGAGAAATAAACTCAAAATTCAGATTTTTTTCCCCTCAGAATTGCGAGATATAAACACATATAAACCTCTACTGTACTTTATAACACGCAATTGGGAGATATAAAAGCAAAAACCAGTCTGAATTTCGACTTTATATCTCGCAAGTCTGAGAAATAAAGTCAGAATTGCGAGATTTTAAAGAACATTCATAAATAACGGTTTCATGATTTAATGGGAACATCGGCACAACGTTGTATTTGTGTCCTGCTCATTTCTGCAGAGAAGATGGAGGATTCTCAGTCAGTGACGTTCCGTCGGGATCGTATGTTCTGGAAATCTCCTCTCCAACCTACAGATTCCAGCCTGTGCGAGTCGACATCACGGCTACTGGGAAGATGAGGTGTGTGTGGATGTTAAACTTCTGCTGTAAAACACTGTTACATAAGGCCACATCACTGTTTGTGCAAAACTAACCACTCAAACTCATAGAGGAGCGTTAGATCTTTAATGCGTGTTGAAATCAGTTACGACGGGTGAAGTGAAGTGCTGGTAGTTGTTAACAAATTACATGAGGAAAATTGTAGTTAGTATTGTAATCTATTAGATTACACATTTCAGGGAATGTATTCTTACTACTTTTGATTACTTTTGACCCACATAGATTTTTAAATAGGATTTATTTTGTATCATATTGATCTAAAAATACAAAGAGAAAGACGATACATTCCTTTTTTTATTATTAAAGGAGTAGTTCACTTTAAAATGAAAAATAGCCCATGATTTACTCTACCTCAAGCCATCCTAAGTGTATATGACTTTCTTCTGTCAGACAAATACAATCTGAGTTATATTAAAAAATATCCTGGCTCTTCCAAGCTTTATAATGGCAGTGAATTGCTACCAACAATTGAAGCACAAAAAAGTGCATCTATCCATCATAAAAGTGCATCTATCCATCATAAAAGTGCATCTATCCATGATAAAAGTGCATCTATCCATGATAAAAGTGCATCTATCCATGATAAAAGTGCATCTGTCCATCATAAAAGTGCATCTGTCCATCATAAAAGTGCATCTGTCCATCATAAAAGTGCATCTATCCATCATAAAAGTGCATCTATCCATGATAAAAGTGCATCTATCCATCATAAAAGTGCATCTGTCCATCATAAAAGTGCATCTATCCATCATAAAAGTGCATCTGTCCATCATAAAAGTGCATCTGTCCATGATAAAAGTGCATCTATCCATGATAAAAGTGCATCTGTCCATCATAAAAGTGCATCTGTCCATCATAAAAGTGCATCTATCCATCATAAAAGTGCATCTATCCATGATAAAAGTGCATCTATCCATGATAAAAGTGCATCTATCCATGATAAAAGTGCATCTGTCCATCATAAAAGTGCATCTATCCATGATAAAAGTGCATCTGTCCATCATAAAAGTGCATCTGTCCATCATAAAAGTGCATCTATCCATCATAAAAGTGCATCTATCCATGATAAAAGTGCATCTATCCATGATAAAAGTGCATCTATCCATGATAAAAGTGCATCTGTCCATCATAAAAGTGCATCTGTCCATCATAAAAGTGCATCTGTCCATCATAAAAGTGCATCTATCCATCATAAAAGTGCATCTATCCATGATAAAAGTGCATCTATCCATGATAAAAGTGCATCTATCCATGATAAAAGTGCATCTATCCATCATAAAAGTGCATCTATCCATGATAAAAGTGCATCTGTCCATCATAAAAGTGCATCTGTCCATCATAAAAGTGCATCTATCCATCATAAAAGTGCATCTATCCATGATAAAAGTGCATCTATCCATGATAAAAGTGCATCTATCCATGATAAAAGTGCATCTGTCCATCATAAAAGTGCATCTGTCCATCATAAAAGTGCATCTGTCCATCATAAAAGTGCATCTATCCATCATAAAAGTGCATCTATCCATGATAAAAGTGCATCTATCCATCATAAAAGTGCATCTGTCCATCATAAAAGTGCATCTATCCATCATAAAAGTGCATCTGTCCATCATAAAAGTGCATCTATCCATCATAAAAGTGCATCTATCCATGATAAAAGTGCATCTATCCATGATAAAAGTGCATCTATCCATGATAAAAGTGCATCTATCCATCATAAAAGTGCATCTATCCATCATAAAAGTGCATCTATCCATGATAAAAGTGCATCTATCCATGATAAAAGTGCATCTATCCATGATAAAAGTGCATCTGTCCATCATAAAAGTGCATCTGTCCATCATAAAAGTGCATCTGTCCATCATAAAAGTGCATCTATCCATCATAAAAGTGCATCTATCCATGATAAAAGTGCATCTATCCATCATAAAAGTGCATCTGTCCATCATAAAAGTGCATCTATCCATCATAAAAGTGCATCTGTCCATCATAAAAGTGCATCTATCCATCATAAAAGTGCATCTATCCATGATAAAAGTGCATCTATCCATGATAAAAGTGCATCTATCCATGATAAAAGTGCATCTATCCATGATAAAAGTGCATCTATCCATGATAAAAGTGCATCTATCCATGATAAAAGTGCATCTATCCATCATAAAAGTGCATCTATCCATGATAAAAGTGCATCTATCCATCATAAAAGTGCATCTATCCATCATAAAAGTGCATCTATCCATGATAAAAGTGCATCTATCCATCATAAAAGAGCATCTATCCATCATAAAAGTGCATCTATCCATGATAAAAGTGCATCTATCCATGATAAAAGTGCATCTATCCAGGGCCGGCGGTTGCCTAGGGCGACAAATGTGTCGGGGGCGCGGGCGCCCTCTAGTGTCGCCCCTGGCCTACTTCCCATTAATCATAGAATTACAATGACAAGCGAAACAAAAACATATTTATTAAACATGATCATCCTAAGGCGCCCCTCAGCCATACGTTTAATTACTTGTCAACCTGATTATTAGATTGAATGGATGATTATTGTCGATCATTTCCTAAAGGGGGGGCGGGGGTTAGTTGCGTTACGTTACGTTCTATGGTTACGTTAGGCGAGTGCTCGGCTGCTGCGCGCGCTGATCGAAAATGAAGCGGTCTAAACCCTCTGGTGCACAGGGACGAAACGGAGAAAGCAACAAGAGAAAAAGAAAGCCCAGTATAGAGGTAAGTCTTCTCATCTCATCCATTAAGATGTCAAATGTTCTGGCCATCGGGACAACCGGGGGATTCCCGCGGCCCGACGTGCTTTTTGGGCCGATACATCTCATACTTTTATTTTTCTATTTTTGTCTTAACGGCCCATAAAACTCGTACATCGGTGGCCCATTCGTTTCGTTTTGTTTTGTTTTGCTTAATTGGCGGCGCTGGGTTACTTCCAAATATATAACTTACTTTCAAGTATAGAAATTTGTACAATACTCATGAAAGTTTCCTTTATTTTTCAGTGCATTTGTTTTACAATATAGCCTATGGCAATTACTGTCATGGGATTAATATTATATCTATTATTATGTAGTAGTGTAATGTAGACAGGCGCTGTAATTAAAAGAGGTTTGAATTTTTCTTTGCTCAATTTGCACACTGAATATGGGTTGGAGCTTTTAGTTTTGAACTCTCAAAGTGCACCAGATTGATGAATTTAACATTAAAATGCACAAAATTTTCTTACGGGGAAATACCCCGAAACCCCCTTAACCTTGTAGCAGACTAATAGATTGTAATAATAGTAGGCCTAGTGGTGGTAGTAGTTGTAATTTATCTACTAAAAGTTATTTATGGTCAGATAAAATATAGTGTACAATGCAACTATGATATAAATATCCTTGAACGTTCTTTGTAGCATTTGTATGAACAATTTATTGTTTAAGTTTTTGAGGGGGGGGGGGGGGGGGGGGGCGCAAAACTCAATATCGCCTAGGGCAACCAAAGGGTTAGAGCCAGCCCTGCATCTATCCATCATAAAAGGGTTGCATGAATAATTTACTGCGTGACTAGTGTGTAATAATGTAATCAATAAAAAAGTAACTGAAATCTGATTATGAGCATTTTAATACAGTTGTGCGTGGCTCACAGGGCTCGTGTGGTCGACTACATCAGAACATCAGAGGTGATCCGACTCCCGTACCCTCTCCAGATGAGATGCCTCGGCCTGCACTCATACTTCATCCAGCGGGAGACCTGGATCTGGTCCGATTTCCTCATGAACCCGATGGTGCGTCTCTGCAGAACCGGTCCAGTCCGGTCCGGTCCGGTCACTTCCCGCAGCCGTGTGACGTTTGCTGTGCTCTTGTTCCCTCAGGTTCTGATGATGGTTCTTCCTCTCCTCATCATCGTTCTCCTTCCTAAAGTCATGAACTCCAGTGATCCAGAGATGAAGCGGGTAATCAGTCAAACTTTATTTATAAAGTCAAGTTGAGTCTTCATCTATACAGCGCTGTAACAGTGTAGAGTTTCACAGCAGCTTTACAGTGATAACAGGAGATTACAGTAACAGAGAGTGTTTGGCTTACAGCAGCTCTAGAATACAGTTCTAGTGTCACGATTTGGTTATGTTTCATGTCTGTCATGTGATCCCCTGTTCTAAGTGTCTCTGGCATCTAAGTTGTCTAAGTTTACATCTGTCTAAGTCTACATCTGTCTACGTCTATGTCTACATCTATGTCTACATCTACATCTGTGTCTACATCTATGTCTACATCTATGTCTATGTCTATATCTATGTCTACATCTATGTCTATGTCTACGTCTACATCTATGTCTACATCTATATCTATGTCTACGTCTACATCTATGTCTACATCTATGTCTATGTCTACATCTGTGTCTACATCTATGTCTACATCTATGTCTACGTCTACATCTATGTCTACATCTATGTCTACATCTGTGTCTACATCTATGTCTACATCTATGTCTACATCTGTGTCTAGTTCTACATCTATGTCTACATCTATGTCTATGTCTACATCTGTGTCTACATCTATGTCTACATCTATGTCTACATCTATGTCTACATCTACATCTATATCTATGTCTACATCTATGTCTACATCTGTGTCTAGATCTACATCTATGTCTGTCTATGTCTACGTCTACATCTATGTCTACATCTACATCTATGTCTATGTCTACATCTATGTCTCCATCTATGTCTACATCTACATCTATGTCTACATCTATGTCTATGTCTACATCTATGTCTATGTCTACATCTATGTCTCCATCTATGTCTACATCTACATCTATGTCTACATCTATGTCTATGTCTACATCTATGTCTACATCTACATCTATGTCTATGTCTACATCTATGTCTATGTCTATGTCTACATCTATGTCTACATCTATGTCTAGGTTTACATCTATATCTACGTCTACATCTATGTCTACATCTATGTCTACATCTATGTCTATGTCTACATCTATGTCTATGTCTACATCTATATCTACATCCATGTCTACATCTATGTCTACATCTATGTCTATGTCTACGTCTATGTCTACGTCTACATCTATGTCTACATCTATTTCTACGTCTATGTATACGTCTACATCTACGTCTATGTCTACGTCTACATCTATGTCTACATCTATGTCTACATCTATTTCTACGTCTATGTATACGTCTACATCTACGTCTATGTCTACGTCTACATCTATGTCTACATCTATGTCTACATCTATGTCTACGTCTACATCTATGTCTATGTCTACATCTATGTCTACATCTATGTCTACGTCTATGTCTACATCTATGTCTACATCTATGTCTACGTCTACATCTATGTCTATGTCTACATCTATGTCTACATCTATGTCTACGTCTATGTCTACGTCTACATCTACGTCTACATCTATGTCTACGTCTATGTCTACGTCTACATCTATGTCTACATCTATGTCTACGTCTATGTCTACGTCTACATCTATGTCTACATCTATGTCTACGTCTATGTCTACATCTATATCTACATCTATGTCTAGGTCTACGTCTACGTCTATGTCTACATCTATGTCTAGGTCTACGTCTACGTCTATGTCTACATCTATGTCTAGGTCTATGTCTACGTCTACATCTATGTCTATATCTATGTCTATGTCTACATCTATGTATACATCTATGTCTACGTCTATGTCTATGTCTACATCTATGTCTACATCTATGTCTAGGTCTACGTCTACGTCTATGTCTACGTCTACATCTACGTCTATGTCTACATCTATGTCTACATCTATGTATACGTCTATGTCTACGTCTATGTCTACATCTATGTCTACATCTATGTCTAGGTCTACGTCTACGTCTATGTCTACATCTATGTCTAGGTCTACGTCTACGTCTACATCTATGTGCTGAGAATCATGTTTGAGCGAATGAACGAGGCTTTATAATATAGCGCTTCCATACGTTTGATCGTTATTGATGATGTTCTTTCGTTTGAAGGAGATGGAGCAGTCGATGAACATGCTGAACTCAAACCAGGATCTTCCTGACGTCTCAGAGATCGTGACCCGGTTCTTCTCTCCGCCTAAAAGCCACGGGAGAGCAGGGGGAGGAGCCAGGGCCAGTGTGGGCGTGGCTCAGGGTGTGAGGGGTGGGGCTTCGAGTGTAAGGGGCGGGGCTCCGAGGCGCAGATCAAAGATTAATACGGCCGTGACTTCTAGTGAATAAAGAGCTAGTATTTCAATATTTCAGAACACAATATTTCTGTCAGTCAAACATCTGTGTTTATATGTGTTTATATGTGTATTAACCTTTACAATCATTCAAGCTGCTTCGCCTACATTGGTCACATGTTACAATAAAGTTCCACTAGTTATTGTTAGTTAACTAACAGAGCAAACAATACATCTGTTACAGTATTTATTAATCATTTATTAACTGTTCATTGGTTGTTCTTGTCCATCAATTAATATTAACATGAACTAACAGTGAACAATATTTATACATGTTTGTTACCGATACATTTTTAAGATCAAAAGTTGTATCTGTGAACTAACATTAACAAAGGTAATTTATTGTGTAAAAAAATGTTGCTGATTGTTAGTTCATGTTAGTTTCATTAACAAATGAGACCTGTAAAGTACTTTATAAAATTCTAAAGTATTATACATGTTTAAAGAAAAATGAATAAAACTTTAAATAAATAAATAAAAGTTTTTCTTGTTTCTTTGTTTCGTTTCTTCACAAATTATGTTGTGTAGTTTTATGATGGTCCCTAGTAGTGCGTTTATGTGTGTGTGTGTGTGTGTGTGTGTGTGTGTGTGTGTGTGTGTGTGCGCGTGCGTGCGTGTGTGTGTGTGAGTGAGAGAGTGTGTTTGTCCACACAGTTTTGAGTAAGTTTCTCTACAGGAGTAATTAACTGTGATAATATATATATATAACAGTAATATATATGCATGGAATTGGAAAACCAAGAAATATCAGAAATAAAAAAAAAATTATAATACTTGCAAAATAATCGAATTGATAAAAAAAAAACTTTAGTGAATGTGATTTTGATCTAGTTTTATCCTCAGCTCCTCACTCGCTGTAAAGCTGATATGCGCCGCCAGGAGTCGCTGTTACACGCGCTGATCTCACTGACTGACAGCTGTCAATCATCACACAGAGCAGAGCTACAAACGCTGCTTTGAGCTGAAAGAAATAGAGAAGGTAATCAAAGCAATAAAAACTGAAAGTATCAACACGTTTTTTGAGAATTACAAACAGATTTTTTTTTTTTTTTAAGTTTTTTTTGTTGTTCTCAGACAATGTAATCAGTGTTAGTTATTCCTCAAGTCCTTTTATAAAAACAACGCGACATTACTGAGCGTCTGCAGGGCAAAACCGAAACAAACAATGACGTGAGCGCGCACGTCGCCGCGCACACGTGGGAAAGGAGCGTCACGTGATCTGACGGAGTAAACACCGGTCATGTGACCAGCAGCTGAGCTGAGGGAGTTTGAGGAAACACACACACCAATCAACATTAAACCAGCAGGTTCGTGAGATCAATTGCGTGTTTGTTAGTTTAACTTTAAATGTTTTCATCTGTAAAGACTGCTTATATATTTAGCCGCGAGTGTTTATTAATTTAGGGTTTATTTATATGGTATCTAGTGGTTGTTTAGATGTGTATTTGGGTTATTTTAGCGTTTGTTCATTTAAATTCACGTCGTATTTATTGGTTATATGTGTATTGAAGGTTATCTGTAATATACAGTTTGTTAAATGTTTGATAAATTATGTCATGATGATTTAACTCAGTTTTGTCACTGGTGGATTAATACAGTCCTCCGTCAATTAATCTCTGCATTAAAAAATTCAGAGCAATGTATAACTTACAAAGGTATTCAGACATTAAGGAAGTTGTGATCTAGCTAAGAAAAATGTTTCTTTTCAACATTACTGGAATGTATATCACATGTTAGTAATATTATAAGAACCTTCCAGAAACATTATTTCAAGAATGTTTTGTCCTAACATTGAAGTAACCTTGAAAAATCATTATTTCTGTCATCTCTGGTTCTCCTGTTGCACATGTGATCTGTGTATTTGCAGTGTTTTTGTTCAGTGAACTCTTGCACAGTCTGGTGTCTGATCATGTGACCCGCATCATGTGACCCTCAGGTCCTGATGATGTCACTTCTTCTTCTTCTGTGTTTCTGTGGCTCCGCCGCCGCCGTGCCGCCCGCAGGAACTCAGCCTGAGCAGGTGCACATCTCGTATCCAGGTGAGAGCTCCAGGTCAAACTAAACTATACTTTATTGTATTTTAAATATATTCAATTGTACATTGCAAATATACTTTTCTAGAAATATACTTGAAGTAAAAAAAATATGTTTATTTTTTAAAAGTGTATTTATTTGCACTTTATTAAAAATATATTTTAGGTGTATTTTTAACTGTGCTGAAAATGTTATAGGATACAATCGTATATTGTACAAAGTATAGCTAAGAATTATTTGTTTATTAATGTGCATTTGTTATTGAAGACAAAGTGTGCAATGTGTAGTATTTAGAATAAGCCAATAATTTGTGCAAATATTGTAAAGTACAATTATTTTAAAGTGTGTTAAAAGTTGCATTGTGAAAATAGGTAAAAGCATGATGCTAATATACTTTTAATATATTTAAAGATACTATAATTTTTTTGATGTTTTTTTATTTATTTTTTATTTTTTGATGACGATGTTGATGAGGATGATGTTGATGATGATGAGGAGGATGATGATGATGATGAGGAGGATGATGATGTTGATGATGATGTTGATGAGGATGTTGATGAGGATGGTGATGATGATGATGATGATGTTGATGATGTTGATGATGATGTTGATGAGGATGATGATGAGGATGATGATGATGATGTTGATGAGGATGATGATGTTGATGATGGTGATGATGTTGATGATGGTGATGATGTTGATGAGGATGATGATGAGGATGATGTTGATGAGGATGAGGATGATGTTGATGAGGATGAGGATGATGATGATGATGGTGATGATGATGATGTTGATGAGGATGATGATGATGATGACGATGACGACGATGTTGATGTTGATGATGAGAATGATGATGATGATGATGATGATGGTGTGTGTGTTCTCAGCTGTGTCGGGCTCTATGCTGGTCACATGGTCCACAGCCAATGAGACGGAGAGTGTGGTGGAGTTCGGGGTGTGGGGGGGGACGCTCTTCAGTCGCTCGGCGAAGGGAAACTCCACCGTCTTCATTAACGAAGGACTCGAGCGCAGACGTGTCTTTGTCCACCGGGTCACGCTGGAAGACCTGAGGCCCGGCACCGCTTACGGTAAACACGTGTCGCACTCACCATCAATATTACACCTGTGTCTCAATCATATTAACGGTAAACACACGTGTCGCACTCACCATCAATATTACACCTGTGTCTCAATCATATTAACGGTAAACACGCGTGTCGCACTCACCATCAATATTACACCTGTGTCTCAATCATATTAACGGTAAACACACGTGTCGCACTCACCATCAATATTACACCTGTGTCTCAATCATATTAACGGTAAACACACGTGTCGCACTCACCATCAATATTACACCTGTGTCTCAATCATATTAACGGTAAACACACGTGTCGCTCTCACCGTCAATATTACACCTGTGTCTCAATCATATTAACGGTAAACACACGTGTCGCACTCACCGTCAATATTACACCTGTGTCTCAATCATATTAACGGTAAACACACGTGTCGCACTCACCGTCAATATTACACCTGTGTCTCAATCATATTAACGGTAAACACACGTGTCGCACTCACCGTCAATATTACACCTGTGTCTCAATCATATTAACGGTAAACACACGTGTCGCACTCACCGTCAATATTACACCTGTGTCTCAATCATATTAACGGTAAACACACGTGTCGCTCTCACCATCAATATTACACCTGTGTCTCAATCATATTAACGGTAAACACACGTGTCGCACTCACCATCAATATTACACCTGTGTCTCAATCATATTAACGGTAAACACGCGTGTCGCACTCACCGTCAATATTACACCTGTGTCTCAATCATATTAACGGTAAACACACGTGTCGCACTCACCGTCAATATTACACCTGTGTCTCAATCATATTAACGGTAAACACACGTGTCGCTCTCACTGTCAATATTACACCTGTGTCTCAATCATATTAACGGTAAACACACGTGTCGCACTCACCGTCAATATTACACCTGTGTCTCAATCATATTAACGGTAAACACACGTGTCGCACTCACCGTCAATATTACACCTGTGTCTCAATCATATTAACGGTAAACACACGTGTCGCACTCACCATCAATATTACACCTGTGTCTCAATCATATTAACGGTAAACACACGTGTCGCTCTCACTGTCAATATTACACCTGTGTCTCAATCATATTAACGGTAAACACGCGTGTCGCACTCACCATCAATATTACACCTGTGTCTCAATCATATTAACGGTAAACACACGTGTCGCACTCACCATCAATATTACACCTGTGTCTCAATCATATTAACGGTAAACACACGTGTCGCACTCACCATCAATATTACACCTGTGTCTCAATCATATTAACGGTAAACACGCGTGTCGCACTCACTGTCAATATTACACCTGTGTCTCAATCATATTAACGGTAAACACACGTGTCGCACTCACCATCAATATTACACCTGTGTCTCAATCATATTAACGGTAAACACGCGTGTCGCACTCACCATCAATATTACACCTGTGTCTCAATCATATTAACGGTAAACACACGTGTCGCACTCACCATCAATATTACACCTGTGTCTCAATCATATTAACGGTAAACACGCGTGTCGCACTCACCGTCAATATTACACCTGTGTCTCAATCATATTAACGGTAAACACACGTGTCGCACTCACCGTCAATATTACACCTGTGTCTCAATCATATTAACGGTAAACACGCGTGTCGCACTCACCGTCAATATTACACCTGTGTCTCAATCATATTAACGGTAAACACGCGTGTCGCACTCACTGTCAATATTACACCTGTGTCTCAATCATATTAACGGTAAACACACGTGTCGCACTCACCATCAATATTACACCTGTGTCTCAATCATATTAACGGTAAACACGCGTGTCGCACTCACCATCAATATTACACCTGTGTCTCAATCATATTAACGGTAAACACACGTGTCGCTCTCACCATCAATATTACACCTGTGTCTCAATCATATTAACGGTAAACACACGTGTCGCACTCACCATCAATATTACACCTGTGTCTCAATCATATTAACGGTAAACACACGTGTCGCACTCACCATCAATATTACACCTGTCTCTCAATCATATTAACGGTAAACACACGTGTCGCACTCACCATCAATATTACACCTGTGTCTCAATCATATTAACAGTAAACACACGCGTCGCACTCACCGTCAATATTACACCTGTGTCTCAATCATATTAACGGTAAACACACGTGTCGCACTCACCGTCAATATTACACCTGTGTCTCAATCATATTAACGGTAAACACACGTGTCGCTCTCACCGTCAATATTACACCTGTGTCTCAATCATATTAACGGTAAACACACGTGTTGCACTCACCATCAATATTACACCTGTGTCTCAATCATATTAACGGTAAACACACGTGTCGCACTCACCATCAATATTACACCTGTGTCTCAATCATATTAACGGTAAACACACGCGTGTCGCACTCACCATCAATATTACACCTGTGTCTCAATCATATTAACGGTAAACACACGTGTCGCACTCACCATCAATATTACACCTGTGTCTCAATCATATTAACGGTAAACACGCGTGTCGCACTCACCGTCAATATTACACCTGTGTCTCAATCATATTAACGGTAAACACACGTGTCGCTCTCACCATCAATATTACACCTGTGTCTCAATCATATTAACGGTAAACACACGTGTCGCTCTCACCATCAATATTACACCTGTGTCTCAATCATATTAACGGTAAACACGCGTGTCGCACTCACCATCAATATTACACCTGTGTCTCAATCATATTAACGGTAAACACACGTGTCGCTCTCACCGTCAATATTACACCTGTGTCTCAATCATATTAACGGTAAACACGCGTGTCGCACTCACCATCAATATTACACCTGTGTCTCAATCATATTAACGGTAAACACACGTGTCGCACTCACCATCAATATTACACCTGTGTCTCAATCATATTAACGGTAAACACACGTGTCGCACTCACCGTCAATATTACACCTGTGTCTCAATCATATTAACGGTAAACACGCGTGTCGCACTCACCGTCAATATTACACCTGTGTCTCAATCATATTAACGGTAAACACACGTGTCGCACTCACCGTCAATATTACACCTGTGTCTCAATCATATTAACGGTAAACACACGTGTCGCACTCACCGTCAATATTACACCTGTGTCTCAATCATATTAACGGTAAACACACGTGTCGCACTCACCGTCAATATTACACCTGTGTCTCAATCATATTAACGGTAAACACACGTGTCGCTCTCACCGTCAATATTACACCTGTGTCTCAATCATATTAACGGTAAACACGCGTGTCGCACTCACCGTCAATATTACACCTGTGTCTCAATCATATTAACGGTAAACACACGTGTCGCACTCACGTCAATATTACACCTGTGTCTCAATCATATTAACGGTAAACACGCGTGTCGCACTCACCTGCAATATTACACCTGTGTCTCAATCATATTAACGGTAAACACACGTGTCGCTCTCACTGTCAATATTACACATGTGTCTCAATCATATTAACGGTAAACACGCGTGTCGCTCTCACTGTCAATATTACACATGTGTCTCAATCATATTAACGGTAAACACGCGTGTCGCTCTCACCATCAATATTACACCTGTGTCTCAATCATATTAACGGTAAACACGCGTGTCGCACTCACCGTCAATATTACACCTGTGTCTCAATCATATTAACGGTAAACACACGTGTCGCACTCACCGTCAATATTACACCTGTGTCTCAATCATATTAACGGTAAACACACGTGTCGCACTCACCGTCAATATTACACCTGTGTCTCAATCATATTAACGGTAAACACACGTGTCGCACTCACCATCAATATTACACCTGTGTCTCAATCATATTAACGGTAAACACACGTGTCGCTCTCACCGTCAATATTACACCTGTGTCTCAATCATATTAACGGTAAACACACGTGTCGCACTCACCGTCAATATTACACCTGTGTCTCAATCATATTAACGGTAAACACACGTGTCGCACTCACCATCAATATTACACCTGTGTCTCAATCATATTAACGGTAAACACGCGTGTCGCACTCACCGTCAATATTACACCTGTGTCTCAATCATATTAACGGTAAACACGCGTGTCGCACTCACCGTCAATATTACACCTGTGTCTCAATCATATTAACGGTAAACACACGTGTCGCACTCACCATCAATATTACACCTGTGTCTCAATCATATTAATGGTAAACACGCGTGTCGCACTCACCGTCAATATTACACCTGTGTCTCAATCATATTAACGGTAAACACACGTGTCGCTCTCACCGTCAATATTACACCTGTGTCTCAATCATATTAACGGTAAACACACGTGTCGCACTCACCATCAATATTACACCTGTGTCTCAATCATATTAACGGTAAACACACGTGTCGCACTCACCGTCAATATTACACCTGTGTCTCAATCATATTAACGGTAAACACACGTGTCGCACTCACCATCAATATTACACCTGTGTCTCAATCATATTAACGGTAAACACACGTGTCGCACTCACCGTCAATATTACACCTGTGTCTCAATCATATTAACGGTAAACACACGTGTCGCACTCACCGTCAATATTACACCTGTGTCTCAATCATATTAACGGTAAACACGCGTGTCGCACTCACCGTCAATATTACACCTGTGTCTCAATCATATTAACGGTAAACACGCGTGTCGCACTCACCATCAATATTACACCTGTGTCTCAATCATATTAACGGTAAACACACGTGTCGCACTCACCATCAATATTACACCTGTGTCTCAATCATATTAACGGTAAACACACGTGTCGCACTCACCGTCAATATTACACCTGTGTCTCAATCATATTAACGGTAAACACGCGTGTCGCACTCACCGTCAATATTACACCTGTGTCTCAATCATATTAACGGTAAACACGCGTGTCGCACTCACCATCAATATTACACCTGTGTCTCAATCATATTAACGGTAAACACACGTGTCGCTCTCACTGTCAATATTACACATGTGTCTCAATCATATTAACGGTAAACACGCGTGTCGCACTCACCATCAATATTACACCTGTGTCTCAATCATATTAACGGTAAACACGCGTGTCGCACTCACCATCAATATTACACCTGTGTCTCAATCATATTAACGGTAAACACACGTGTCGCTCTCACTGTCAATATTACACATGTGTCTCAATCATATTAACGGTAAACACACGTGTCGCACTCACCATCAATATTACACTTGTGTCTCAATCATATTAACGGTAAACACACGTGTCGCACTCACCGTCAATATTACACCTGTGTCTCAATCATATTAACGGTAAACACACGTGTCGCACTCACTGTCAATATTACACCTGTGTCTCAATCATATTAACGGTAAACACGCGTGTCGCACTCACCGTCAATATTACACCTGTGTCTCAATCATATTAACGGTAAACACACGTGTCGCACTCACCATCAATATTACACCTGTGTCTCAATCATATTAACGGTAAACACACGTGTCGCACTCACCATCAATATTACACCTGTGTCTCAATCATATTAACGGTAAACACGCGTGTCGCACTCACCGTCAATATTACACCTGTGTCTCAATCATATTAACGGTAAACACGCGTGTCGCACTCACCGTCAATATTACACCTGTGTCTCAATCATATTAACGGTAAACACACGTGTCGCTCTCACTGTCAATATTACACATGTGTCTCAATCATATTAACGGTAAACACGCGTGTCGCACTCACCATCAATATTACACCTGTGTCTCAATCATATTAACGGTAAACACGCGTGTCGCACTCACCATCAATATTACACCTGTGTCTCAATCATATTAACGGTAAACACGCGTGTCGCACTCACCATCAATATTACACCTGTGTCTCAATCATATTAACGGTAAACACACGTGTCGCTCTCACCGTCAATATTACACCTGTGTCTCAATCATATTAACGGTAAACACACGTGTCGCTCTCACTGTCAATATTACACCTGTGTCTCAATCATATTAACGGTAAACACACGTGTCGCACTCACCATCAATATTACACCTGTGTCTCAATCATATTAACGGTAAACACGCGTGTCGCACTCACCATCAATATTACACCTGTGTCTCAATCATATTAACGGTAAACACACGTGTCGCTCTCACTGTCAATATTACACCTGTGTCTCAATCATATTAACGGTAAACACACGTGTCGCACTCACCGTCAATATTACACCTGTGTCTCAATCATATTAACGGTAAACACGCGTGTCGCACTCACTGTCAATATTACACCTGTGTCTCAATCATATTAACGGTAAACACGCGTGTCGCACTCACCGTCAATATTACACCTGTGTCTCAATCATATTAACGGTAAACACACGTGTCGCTCTCACAGGCTGGAGTGATGTCTTCTCCTTCACCTGTGTGTGTGTGTGTGTGTGTTTCAGTGTATCACTGTGGCAGTGACTCTGGCTGGAGTGATGTCTTCTCCTTCACCGCTCTGAATGAAAGCGTGAGTTTCAGCCCCAGATTCGCTGTGTTCGGAGACATGGGCAATGAGAACCCCCAGTCTCTGAGTCGGCTGCAGAAGGAGACACAGATGGGTGTGTACGACGCCATTCTGCACATCGGTGAGACCAGCGGCTCGCTGTCCTAGTGTGGACCCTAGCTTTCTCAGAGTTGTTGGCATGTGGTGAAAGTGCATAACAGCGTGTGATTGTTTTCTCAGGGGACTTTGCGTATGACATGGATGAGGTAAGAAAACACACACACACACACACACACACACTCATCAAGGGCTGTTAACGTGACGTCTGTTCACATGCATCAAGTGTCACGACGATCATAAACAAGCTAATCACATAGAATAAAGTCTGAATTCTTTCCGTATGTACATTGTAAAGCCGTTTTATATATATATATTTAAAAAAATGTCCCAAAAGGTCATAGTTTAGTTTCCATAATCATTTACTTTCTCTCTTTGACACTGACAATTAAAGGCAAAGTTCAGCCAAACATGATCGTTCTGTCCTCTTTTACTCGCATTCGTGTCATTAAAATACACATGTCTTTATCAAGGAAAATTGGACCCCATTGACATTTTATTGTATGGACAAAAAATACTGAGGCATTTCTCAAAATATCTTCTTTTATGCTGCACAGAAGAAAGAAAGTCACACAGGTTTGACGAGTGAATGATGATAATGATTATATTTGAGTCAACGATCCCTTTAAAAAAGCAGTTTTTTTGCTGCTGTGTCTTTAAGGCGTCTATGTTTAATAAAGAAGAAAAATCAGCCAGATTGAGTCATAATCGAACTGTGTTAAAGATGATCAGCATCATTTTGAAACAACTGTGTAAAGTTTCTCATAACATCGTAATCTGAGATGAACTAGAAACAAGCTTGTTGTTCAGTAGAAGCACAGAGAGCGTCTGGAAACTCCTGATGCTCGACACAGTTTTCCCAAAACCTCTGAATTTGAGTTCAGTTATGGTTATGAAAGTGTCACGCTGGCTGTCTGGAAAATAGATGGATCTGATTGGATTCTGTCATGACTGAGGCTTCCAGATCAGCTCAATGATGGATCGGTTTCATTAACATTACATGACATCGATGCATTTGGTATCCAACATGTTGTATTCAATGTATTTATTTTATGTTAAAAAGTGTCCATTTTGTCAGTTAAAACATGTCGATTTTATCGGTTAAAAAGTGTAAATTTTATCGGTTAAAAAGTGACCATTTTATCGGTTAAAAAGTGTACAATTTATCCGTTAAAAAGTGTAAATTTTATCGGTAAAAAATTGTTTATTTTATCAGTTAAAAAGTGTAAATTTTATCGGTTAAAAAGTGTCCATTTTATCGGTTAAAAAGTGTCCATTTTATCGGTTAAAAAGTGTACAATTTATCCGTTAAAAAGTGTCAATTTTATCGGTAAAAAATTGTTTATTTTATCAGTTAAAAAGTTTACATTTTATCGGTTAAAAGGTGTCCATTTTATCAGTTTAAAGTGTTCATTTTATTGGTTAAAAAGTGTAAATATTATCGGTTAAAAGTGTAAATTTTATCGGTTAAAATGTGAACATTTTATTGGTTAAGTGTAAATTTTATCGGTTAAAAAGTGTCCATTTTATTGGTTAAAAGTGTACATTTTATCGGTTAAAAGTGTACATTTTATCGGTTAAAATGTATACATTTTATCGGTTAAAATGTGTACATTTTATTGGTTAAAAGTGTCAATTTTATCGGTTAAAAGTGTCCATTTTATTGGTTAAAAGTGTCAATTTTATCGGTTAGAAGTGTAAATTTTATCAGTAAAAATTTGTACATTTTATCGGTTAAAAGTGTAAATTTTATCGGTTAAAAGTGTAAATTTTATCGGTTAAAATGTGTACATTTTATCGGTTAAAAGTGTACATTTTATCGGTTAAAAAGTGTAAATTTTATCGGTTAAAAAGTATCAATTTATTGGTTAAAAAGTGTCAATTTTATCGGTTAAAAAGTGTACAATTTATTGGTTAAAAAGTGTCAATTGTATCGGTTAAAAAGTGTAAATTTTATCGATTGAAAAGTGTCAATTTTCCCAGTTAAAAGTGTTCGTTTTATCGGTTAAAAAGTGTACAATTTATCGGTTAAAAAGTGTCAATTTTATCGGTTGAAAAGTGTAAATTTTACCAGTTAAAAGTGTCAATTTTATCGGTTAAAAGTAAACATGTCTATTTTATCAGTTAAAAAGTTTCTATTTTATCGGTTAAAAGTGTAAATTTTATCATTTAAAAAGTGTCAATTTTATTGTTGAAAATGTCAGTTTTATTGTTCATAAAGTGTCAGTTTTATCATCTTTCATGGTTCATCCTTTTGATTGTTGACCAAGTGTAAGACTAATATAATTACATAAACCTTATTCGCAGCAGTGAGGCTGTGAGGGATAGACGTCCATCACTGGCTTGTTCTGTTATTTCATGTGTTTTTGGATTGTTCTGCGGATGAAACACTGCAAAAATATCTTTCTGAGAAATTTCAGGAGGCAAAAAGCTCCATGTAAATTGAAATTATATAAATATGAAAATTTTAAGTGATCTAGAAGCTTTATCCAGTTTTTTACAAACACAGTAAGTCTGTTCCTCACAGCCTCGCTTTCATACCTGTCGTGGCGCTGCTCTGAATAAGGTCTGTAATGTGTGTGTGTGTGTGTGTGTGTGTGTGTTCTCTCAGGACAACGGTAGGATCGGTGATGAGTTCATGAAGCAGATCCAGTCCATCGCTGCTTACACACCGTACATGACCTGTCCGGGAAACCACGAGTCGGCATTGTGAGTGTTTAACCTGTTCTTATCCTCAACCTGATCTCAACCTCAGTGTCTTTCAGGAGGACAGGCATTACGGGACTTTAGCCAGGTTACAGTCATGTTGAGGGCAGAAATTAGCCAGATTTCCAGAGTGAAAGTGTCCTAACGGTGCTAAAAATCGTCATTATTCCAAACATTTGCCCGGCAGAGTAAATGATTCACCAGACGCATGTGTTTCAGTGAAGTCGTGTGTGCAGTTTGACCACTGACCACTGGAGGGAAGCACAAACCGGGGGATTTGTTTTTATTGCAGAATGTACATAAGACAGGGAACAATCAACAAAGTAAGACTTCCATTGAGACTAACACACAGTTTGAATAAAAAGAGGAGCAAGGATGAAGACTAACAGCTGATATAGACATCAAAGGCAAATATACTAAACCAGTCAATATTTTGACAAAGAGAAACAGAGTTTCAGACTTTCTATTGTGTTTTTTGAAACATTTGAAACTCAGAAACATTTGACCACAAACTCACTTAGGCATATATTAAAGGAGGGCTTACATATTTTCCATTTACAAGTATGGATATATGATATTACCATCAATAAAACAAAATGTACCAAACCTGTGGATTTACCTCAATAACTCACAGAAACACTGATGTTAAACATGATTGATTATGGATGGAAGTGGTTTTTGCACTGTAATTTTTCCTTGTAATGCAGCAAACGTCTGTTGTTTTCCTAGCCTTGACCTTACGACCCCTGCACGACGGAAATGACCCCTGACCTCTTAACCTTTGACCCCCACCCTCTCCATTCACTGACCCTGAATTTGTCAGTGTTTAAACACACACCCGTATCTCATGTTTATGAGCCGGATGAAACTCGAGAGTGTTGGTGTGTTTCTCGCTGGCGTTTGTTTCACATGATGAGTGAGTCGCTGTGGTTTTCAGTCTGTCTGTGTTTATTCTTCTTCCAGTAATTTCTCCCACTACCGGAGTCGTTTCAGTATGCCGGGACACACGGAGAATCTGTGGTACAGGTACGAGTTATCATGAGAGAAAGCTGGAAAAAGTTTTGCTTTAAACACAGAGAGAGTCCAGCTCTGAACAATGAAGCATGTTTAAAAGTGTGTGTGTGTGTGTGTGTGTGTGTGTGTGTGTGTGTGTGTGTGTAGCTGGAACGTCGGTCCCGCTCACATCATCTCCTTTTCCACTGAAGTCTATTTCTATCTGGAATACGGCCTTGATCTGCTGTTCAGACAGTACGAGTGGCTACGGAAGGATCTCGAGGTACGAACACACAGATCGATGATCATTGGCATAATCTTTACATTAAGGGCCCATTAGTCAATGCATTAACTAAAAATGAGCAATGCATGTGGTTAACTAACGTGAACAAATGAAACCTGAAGCGTTGTGTTCTGTTTAAAGGTGGGATCAGTAGTTTTTGAAATATGCTGTTTGGAAGTTAGTCGGTCCGACACCAACAACAAACGTGTAGCCAATCAGCATTAGGGGGCGTATGAGGAGAGAGAGAACGAGCAAGAGGGAGATTACAGTGTTACATCAACATTGGCCAACAGCATATTTCAAAAACGACTTTCTCCACCTTTAACCGCATGTGTTATAATAGTGTTGTGTGTGTGTGTGTTTGGTTCAGGAGGCGTCCCGTCCTGAGAATCGAGCGCAGAGACCGTGGATCATCACGATGGGACACAGACCCATGTATTGTTCTGATGATGATAGTGACGACTGCACACGCTTTCAGAGCCACGTATGTGTCTGACCTGATCTGACATCCGACAGCTAATCTGATGACAGCGTGTTCGTAATGTCTTCAATTCATTATAATCGTTCCATCCTGCAGCGGTCGACGTGTTTAACCTCGCATACGCTCTCCTCTCGAATCTGTTAAAGTGCTCCTATAACAGCTTCACACACATTAAACACACTAATGTCCTCATAATCTCCACTGCAGCTTCAGCTCTTTCCTCTCAGTGTCTGAAACGCTTCCATCGAGGAGTCAGTCTCTCTAAGCCCCGCCTCTCTGAGAGCTGCTCTGCTCTGATTGGTCAGAACGCTCATTATCATATCTGAATCTCAGCTCTTGATCACAGTGATACGAACAGTAACGATGGCGTGGGTTTCACGTCTCAATCTCATCACAGTGGAGAACAGCGTCTTCTCGACACGAACAACACGAACCAAACTCTTCCAGTCTCAGATACACTAGTGTTTGAGGGCGGGGCCAAGAGACGCTGCTCAGCCAATCAGGACCAGAGGCGGGCATTATGCTAATGAGTTACAAACCTACAGCAGGAAGTGAGACTGAATTACTGACTCGTTTCAGTTCAGAATCACAAAATCTCCATTTATCTTTAATCTTTAAAACTTAGCAGAGCTTTTATATTCACAAACAGCTTTATTACTCACTACATGAATGATAATATCCCATAAATCATTAATAGGGGCACTTTAACACTGCAGAAGGTCGCATGTGAAAGAATGTTGCCTCAGTGTGTTACTTGCCATTTCTTTGTAATTATTTATGAAATTTACTAGTAGTTTTAAAGTAAATCCTGCTTAGATTGTTTTCAGTGTAATAATGATCTATTCTAGAGTTTAGAAAGATTCATTCATTTTTTTTTAGACCATAAACCGTAACCTTACACAGATGTAAACAATCACATTTCAGAAACATTTGCATAATAACAAAAAAAATATTTTCTGAAAAGGATCTGAAAATAACGATTATCTTCCTGATTTAATGTGATGAAGCTCATGAACTAGTTCTTCCTCAGAAGAGTCTTTTATCTGCCTGTGAAATATAAACACGACTGTTTTCTGACTGAATCTAGTCTAGTGTGTTCATTGTGCATCAGACGTTTGGTTTAAAGATGGATCCGCCTCAGATTAATGCTGTGTTTGTAATGTAAATGTGTTTGTGTATGACCGATCTCTCGTCCCGCTTCAGGTCCGCCTCGGACGCAACGACACGAAGCCCGTGGCTCCTGGACTGGAGGATTTATTCTATCAGTATGGTACGAG